TACTTGATTATCCATTATTTAAAAATAATAGAATAATTTTTACAACTTTTAAATTAAAACAAAACTGCAATTAATTCACTGAGAAAATTATAAAAAATATGTGCAAATTATTATGACGTGACGCGCCGTTTGTAACATGTAACACAATCTGATTAAACAANGACGTGACGCGCCGTTTGTAACATGTAACACAATCTGATTAAACAGAAAAATGTTTTGGTAATAATAGTATTTTATTTTATGTGTATTATTAAAAACTTTATTTAAACTTAATTTTAACGAATCATTAGTTTTAATTACATCTAATTTTTACAACTTTTAAGCTGATAAAGTTGATCGAACTGATAAAACCAATGAAATTATTAAAATTACAATTTTTACAAAAATACACGTTTATTATAGGGAAATTCTATGTGCAGGGCTCAAATGCAATCTGACGCAAAATTTTTTTTTTTGTAATTGTAGCTTAAGAGTTCTTCTACAACATGCATGTATTGGTGTAATCGTAATATTGCGTAATTTTGAGTTAAACTCTTTAAAAAACAATGTAAAATAAGTATTTGCATTTTTTTGTGTGTAAAAAATTATTAAAATTAAAAAAAAAAAGAAATAAAAATTTTTTCTTAGTAAATTTGAAAGCCGATGACTTTTTAAACATTTTAAAAAAAAAAAAAAAATTAAGGTTTTTAATTAAGCAGGAAAAAATGATTGAAGAAATAATAAAAATCCTAGAAAAAAAACAAAAAAATACAGTGTTATGATATTTAAATAGCACCCAACCATTACTATATCAACTTTTGGCCTTGAATTTTTGTACATGACCTTATAAGGATATAATAAAAAAAATTTGCTAAAAAAAAAATTTTTATTAGTTGATTTAAAAATGGTACTTTTGGCCGGCCAAATCAGCGTTTGGTCCCACTGTGCGGGGTCGCAGCACAGTATGAACGTGGTATAGTTGGGACAAGGATAGATGATATCTGACAGTGATTAAAATCACTATCATAAGAAACGTTTCGATGCAAATCTGTAGATAGTATTTAATTTTAAGAAATTGATAGATTATTTCAAAAGCAACAATAACTGTTATTCCCTTAATTTTATCCCGATTAGTTATTTGATTTATAATTATAATACATGAATAAATAATAATTATAGTAATTAAATTTAGTATGAAATTGAATTTCAATAATTTAATATTGTAATTTTTACGGAGATATAATAAAAACTTAAAGGGCTTCAATACTTTTCAATAAAAAATTGTAACAAAAAATATAACAAAGTTACAAGTTTTATACGATGGACTACAAGGAATTTTCATCAGAAACAAAAATATACTTATCTAAATCAACTTTTCGCGATGTTTTCAAATATGCAAATAGACTTTTTCTATTACTTCTAAGTTTTAATATTATCACTTATTATTTAAAAAATCGTGCCAAATGAAAATATACTTCTAAAAAATGCTATCGTGAACACATTAGTAATGCTGAAAAACTACTCAAAGATAAACCGTACGAATTTTGGAAATATATTAATTGCTATTAACAGCAAGCGGTCATCTTGCAATATACTTAAAATGTTGTCCTACAACGACGTGTGCTCTTCTGATGAGCTTACGTCTGCAAATCTATTTTCCGACTTCTTTTCTTCAGTTTACAGTGCTAAGAAAAATAATGTCTTAATTGACCAACTAGATATTCCCACCTTTGACCTTCCTAACGACGTATACTTCAGTGTTGATGATGTTTACCATAAATTATCAAACTTACGAAGTGTTGGTTCTGTGGGTCCAGATGGCTTATCCGGTACATTTTTATATGAACTAAGGGAATTATTGGCATATCCTCTATGGATCTTATTTAGGCGTTCATTAGACGAAGGCTCATTCCCATCTATGCTTAAACTTAGTTCCATTACACCTGTATTCAAGACGGGCTCCCCTAGTCTAATTTCAAATTACCGCCCTATAGCAATACAGTCCCCAAAAATATTTGAATTGCTTATACTTAATGGAATTCAAACACCTGTTAATAACATTTTAATGGAAGAACAGCATGGCTTTCTCCCGGGTCGCTCATCTTCCACTTGTAATCTAGTGTTCACCAACTATATTTTCAATGCTTTCCAAAATCAATTACAAGTAGATGTTACATACAATGATTTCAGTAAAGCATTTGACTCTGTGGATCATACGACCCTTATTACTGTTCTTAGACAATATGGTTTTGGTGAACCACTACTATCTTGGATTAGTTCCTATATTCGTGACCGATACCAATGGGTAAAAATATTTGGCGTTAAGTCTAATGTATTTTTAGCGTCTTCGGTGTCCCCCAGGGAGGTCACTTATCCCCTATTTTATTTTCCTTATTCNGTCCCCTATTCTATTTTCCTTATTCTTAAACTGTGTGCATAAAGTTTTACACCATTGTCATTTTCTTTGTTTTGCCGACGACATCAAACTATTTATGCGTGTAAGCTCGACTGATGACTACTGTTTGAAATTACAAGATGACCTTAATAGTTTTTCTGAATCGTCAAACTCAATGGGATTGTCACTTAATTTAACCAAATGCAAGGTCTTTACGTATCATAGAACAAAACATCCTATTGTGTTTCACTATAGTATTACTGCAGTAAATATCTCGCGTGAGTTAAACTCTACTACAGATTTAGGCTTCAAGTTTAGTTATAATCTTGATCCTATGCTTCATATTGATTATGTTTGCTGTAAAGCTTTTAAAGCGTTAGGTTTTATTATGCGTTTGGCCAAAGATTTCAAGCAAGGACTTTCACTTAAAATGCTATTCTGTTCTATAGTCAGACCTATTCTAGAATATGGTAGTGTAGTGTGGGATCTTTATACTGCCTTGGGCTCGCTACAGCTTGAGCGAGTTCAGCGAAAGTTCCTACGCTTTGTCAGCTACTCGCTCGACATAGTCTGTCCTAATCACAATCATGTCCCTGTTTCATATATGCTTGGCCTATCCTCATTAGCTGAGCGTATACGCAATGCTGGAATTAATTTCCTAATTGGTTTATTGAATGGTAATATTGATTCGCCGAGCCTGTTGTCCCTCATATGTTTCAGAGTACCTCAGCGCGCAACAAGAAATAATGCTCCATTTGTTGTCTCTCACTGCCTAACTAATTATGCAAAAAATGAGCCACTCAGACGTCTTATGTCTAATGCCAATGTTGACCCTATTTTTTCATTTTAATTTTTCTATTTTTTTTTATGTTTAATAATTAATTTCATTTTCATTTTGTATTTCTATCTTTGCGTTTAATAATTAATTTACATATTTTTAGTATATATCTTTGTCTATGTTACAATTACCTAATTTATGTACTTGTATTATTTGTAAAAAGGGCTTCTGCCCTTGAAATTATAAAATAAATAAATAAAAAATAAGTTTTTACATATAAAAAAATAATTAAGAAAAAAAAATTGTTTTAAATAAATGCTGATTTAGATTATTAATATGTTAAAAGTAAGGAAAATGACATATTTAACCTAGTTTTTTAATCCTTTAAAATTAATTTTTGTGAAAGTTTATAATAAAAATAATTAATTTATTACCGTAACATTTAGTTCAAGTTACAAGTTTGAAATTGACACATCATTAAATAGAAAATTTTATGAGAATTAAAAAAATGATATTGTTAAGATTAATAGGCAGTCAAGATATTTTATAATTTCTATTTATAGTAAATTTATAAGTAAAGCTCAATATTACTTTGGATTTTTATGATAATAGATGACTTAAATAGAAATTATAGTAATAATTTCTGAGTAATTTTTGGAGTTTAAAAAGATTCTACAATTGAAATATTCAAAACTTAATTACTTTCAATGATTTACTTTAACTAAAAAAACCAATAAAAATGTATTAAAAACTTCTACTCAATTGAGCGTATTATAAAACTTGATTATAATTGTAAAAATCCATTGTTAAATTCAAGTGAAACTAAAAATCATTATTTTTAGAAATTTTTTATATAGCAACAAAATTCATTCTAACTTGGGGTTTGAATTTCGTGCACTAAGCGTGAAAGACACAATGTTACCGACTGGGCACCATACGTCGCATTAGTTGGGAAGATAAAAATGTTTATTCAAGCTAATTCAAATTTCAAAGTTATGTTTTTCGACTTTTTCTCAAAATAAGCAAAAAAATTTAAATAAGTTTAACTTTCTATGCTATATCAATAGGTTTATATAAAATTTACAAAAATCAGTGTACTCCCCTTATAAGGTATTTAATATAAAATAAAATACAAATCAAGAATTATAATTTTAAAAATTAATACAAAAATATTACATTTTTGGATACGGTATCCATTTTCACCATGAAGACAAACTAAAGTTTGAAATTTTTTTTTTTTTAAATAAAGTATATTACATATGCTTTAATTTAAGATATATATAAAAGTTTCTGTATTTCCGAAAAATTTTCAAATAAAAGTGGAAAAAGTTAAATTTTTGTGCAGAAGTTACTATTTTGAATCCCCACTGAGGGCAGGTAAAGGGTTAGATTTTCAAAAATATTTTATTAAATTAATAGGAAATAATTTTTAATTTTAAAGAAAAATAATGAAAAAAATGTCGACATTTTTCGATTTTAAAAATCATAATATTTTGGAGGATTTTCACCATTTATGGGGAACGAGGGCAAAATTTTCAATGTCTTCAACTAGATACACAAATTGTGATTTTTTACGTATCGTTGAGAAAAATCGGTCCAGTAAGAGCTGATAAAAAGTATTGACAGACACAAACAAGTTAATCAATAAACACAACGTGATAAAATTAATACCTTTTCAGCTTTGCATCGAAGCTAAAAAACAGTGTTTTAATTTTTTTTTTAATTTTTTTTGTACTTTTAAACTTTTAATTATTAATAAAATCAAAAATTAGTGGTAATATAAAAAATTTAATTGCAGATTTTATAATTTCTCCGTAAAAACGACAATAAGTAATTATTAAATATCAATTTCAATCTATATTTAATTGTTATAATAAATATTTATACGTGTATTACAATATTTAGTGATGCTAAATTTATACCATAACGCACAAATTAAAATTCTACTACGTTGTAACACCACTGCACCTAAAAATTATATTAGCTCAAAAATTAATTTTACAAAACTGATTATCGTTGCAATAAAATGTCCTTTTAATTATTAACACAGAATTTTATGGAATAAAATTTAAAAAAAAAATACATTAATTGACAATAACAATTCAATTAGACATTGAAAATTAAATGAACAATTGATATTAAAAAATTAGATGTATTATTAAAAATTTTACACTATTGCAATCGTTCGTATCGAA